CTGTCTGTAGCACTTTTCCACCCTGGGCCTCTCTTCTGCACCGTTGGGGACCTTGCCGTGTCCTTCTCCCCGGGGTTTCCCACGTGTTGACTGCTCCTCTCTCAGGTCCACCAACTGCCTCTCTTTTCAGGCAGTATACAGATTGGGGGCTCAGAAAAAGCAGCCAGCAACATGTTAGTCCATCAGAGTGAAAACACTGAGAACTTTAAAAAACTAGAGCAACAGATGAATGTGTTCAGTAACATTTTCCCATCAGCTTATATTGTATGCAATCTCTATCATGAAGACTCACAATAAAACTTTTGACACTGGGAAAAATGAGCTTAATACAAATTCAGAAAAAATTGAAGTACCTTAAAAGGAAAGGTCTTTGCTCAACTAACATTTGGAAAGAGATTGTAATTCACTAACAATAAAAGAAATGAGATTCAGAGTAACAACAGCATATACCATTAATAGAACAAAATATCAGAGACTTAAAAAAATAGATATTCCCAGTGCTGGTAATATTCAGGGAAATGACACATTTTCATTTACGACTAATGGACATCTAATTTGATTTAGCTCTTTTAGAAATTACCTAACTTACCCCTAGAGTTTTAAAATGATTATTCCTTTGATGTCATAATTCTGTTCCTGGTATTCTAACCTAGCAATTTTTAACTGGTGTGCCACAAGAATTTGTAACACATGCAATGTCTGACTGTTTAGTCAGGGGCACTGACCTCTTTTCCCTGAGATCAGTGGTCCCTGACCCTTTTGGCACCAAGGACCGGTTTCATGGAAGACAATTTTTCCATGGACCAGAGTGGGGGCGGGGGGATAGGAGGCAGAGCTCAGGTGATAATGAGAGCAAAGCTTTAATGCTCACCCACTGCCCACCTCCTGTTCGCTCCTAACAGGCTATGGGGTTTGGGGACCCTGCCCTAGACTGACAAATCAAAAAATGACAACAGCCAACACAACAATAGCTGTCCCGTGTGAATGAATCAAAATTATCCTTAATTTTTTTTGTCAGATTGGCAAAAAAAAATGTATTTTTCAGGGTGCTACAGAATTTTAGTAATTAGTTTATATGTGCCATGAGATAAAAAAGGTCGAAAATCGCTATTCTTACCTAAGGGAGGCTTGAGTGTGCAAAACATCTTTTGGCACAAAAAATGCATCGAAGTGTTATTTATAACACTAATAACAACAGTGATAGCACGTGGAAACAGCCTAACTAGTTTCAGGGGAGCTGTTAAACAGATTGTGGCCTATCAACCCAATGGAATATTTTGAATTTATTAAAATAATTATTTTATATGAAAGCATGAAAAAGTTCTATGACATGTTGAGTGAAAAGGGTAAAACAGTTTATGTAGTATTATGTTAAAAATTTACACATAATAAAAAGGTTAGAAAGAAAATAATTGTAATGTTAGTAGTGCTTGATTTTATTTTTCTTTTTCATTAGGTCTAATGTCTTGGGGAAATTTTTAGTTAAAAAACTACACAAGTCTGTCTAGGTTTGGTTGACTCAAGGTTTGGTTCAGAAATGATAATAAAATAATCAAAGTTAATAGCATACACATGTCATAAAAGAGAAATCTTTCCAATATAAAAGAACTTACTTGTATAAGTTACAATGATCTTAAGTTATAAGTTACAATGATCTATTTTCCAAAGAAGGGTTAAATATGTTTGTTTTTAGTCTGGATAACTAGAATGTTTCTTAGTGGGAGGAAAATGATAATGTTAGCCAGTAAATTATTAAATTACTCTAATGTTCTTCTTCAATAATTATGTTATCACTTTAAAACCATTTTTAAGGTTACACAATGTATTTTAATAACTTTTTTCCCTTCAGTGCATGGTGCTTTCTTAATTGCAGGAAACAACATTTCAGTGAACTTTCGTTGAAATGTAGTGTACATAGAGAGAATGTGTAGATCATTAGCAAACGTAAGAACTGTCGGGGGGGGGGGGGCGGGGGAGGTGCACACCTGTGTGACCAGCCCCCAGAGCGCACGTCAGGTTGTCACTGGCGCTCCCAAAGCCCCTCCCTCCGCCTCCTCCCCGCGGCCCACACATGCCGAGGACTCAATTTTATAGCAAAATCTAAGACGTGAATATTCATGTCATCATTTTTCATCTTTGCCAATCTTCGAATGTATTTATTCTTGCCTTTTCTCTATTGTTAAATTAAATTTTTGTTTTATTAAAATAGCCCATACATCCTGTTTTACAAGCTAAGTAGCAGTACAAGTCTCATAACGCAGCAAAGGAATTTCCTGCTCCACCTCTTCCACTTTTCAAGCCCCTCCTCCCCAGAGGGGAGGACCCCTTCAGTATTCTTTCCAATGGTACATTTTCGTGTTTCATAATGATAGTTACATACTGCTCTTCTTCATTAACCAAATTTAGGTGTTTTTAGTTGACTTCCTATTATAGTAAATGAGGATTTAACTCTTATACCAGCATTTCTGCTACTTCCCTGTCATATTCCAATATATTTACATTAATTTTTTTTGTAAAATGAATATTCTCTGTTAACATTCAGTCCCTATGTCAATAATATTTAGTATTACAGGACGCTGTGATTGGGGGTATTTTTTGCTTTTTGTTCATGATGTCAATACTTGTCTTGGTTTTCATGGTTTTCCCTGTAAGCCTCTGGTGTAAAATCACGTTCCCTCCTGCCCCGCATCCTCTGGCTCTATCTCTGGACAGCCACCGGCGCTTGTCATCGCCCAGTCCAGTGGAGTCTTCTGCCCCGATCTTTTGTGGGCGGCTCTCCCGCCACTTTCTCAGCCCCAGGTCCCCTGACGTTACCGTCTCCCACCTTCCTGCGCACTCGCTCCCACGCGCTCTCTCTCTCTTCGGTGCCCGGGCCTCTGTCCCTCTCCCCTCCCTTTATGTGTTGTTTGTTAAAATCCCGTCCAGTCTGCTTCCCTCCCAGCACAGCCTCTCCAGGCAGCGTCTGCCAGGCCGTGAGTGGCTTCTGTTGTCTCCTTCTCCGCAGAGAACTCTCTTCTAAGCTCCAGATCCAGCTACTGCACTGGCCATCGCACATGGGAATAGAGAGTATAAAAAGCAAATTTGCCATTGCGTCTGCTCCCACTCACGGTCCCATTCCCTTCTTGTGGTATCTGCCTGTGAATTAGGCAGAGGTGTTTGGTGTCCGCCTGCCCACACTCCCTTCTCCTTGCCCTGCCCCCATAGCCCACGACACCCCAGCTCCCTCCCCTTCCACAGTTCACACACACCCAGTGCCAGCACGAGGTGCTTCCCCTCTCTCGGATGCCAGCACTGCCGCTCTCGTTTCTGTGGGCTGGAAGACGAGAAGTTTTCTCCCCCTCATAGTCCCCTCGTTTAGGCTACAGTGAGGGGATAGGATGTTGGGCTGACTCTGAGATCCCAGAAAAAATAAAGTACTTTACTAACTTAGTATCCTTCGTTTGTACATGTTAGTAACTGCTGGAATAGACCAACCACTGTCAAAACGTGTTAATTCTGGAAATGTTTACAGAATGAGCCCTTGAAACAAGTGTAGGAATCTGCATTTTCTCCTTTATTGTTACTTTCAGATTTAAAGCCATGAGTGGGATTGTAATATGAATTTCATTATTTTCAAATTTAAAACTACACATGTGGGATTGTAGTGTGAATTTATAGGCAGAGATAATGTACCTTGTCCAAACAAGAAAGAAAAAAACACAATTGAATGTTCTCCTGCCAACTTTTATCTCTGTGTATAACTAGGACCGTAAGTCTGGGCTCACCTTCCTCAGTGCTCGCGGTCCAGAGGAGCTCCGTTCGCTCAGCCACAACCCACGCGCGGGTCAGGACGCGCGAGCCCGCTGACACACTGGCTGCATTTCTTTCGGCAGCACTTTCTGAAAGGAGCGCGTTCACTCTGTCTTTCTTTCAGGCGCTGTGTGCCAGGCACTAGGTTAGACCCTGGGGCACAGCTGATGGAAGGTGGTGCTCCCCCTGAAGCTCAGAGTGAGACAAAGATGTGGGCGCCCCCTCCCTCGGAACCTGGCTGCTCATGGTGCGGTCGTCAGACCCCCAGCACTGGCCCCCGCTGCGGGCCTGTTAGAAGTGCAGAATCTCGGTCCCAGGTGGCTCGGCATCTCCGCCCAGGATGCACATCTAACAGGATCCCGGCCGATGCCAGTGCTGTTGGCCCATGGGCAAGGCCAGGCCGGCTCTTTGGGTGCACCAGGCGCCTTTGCTGTCCCCAGCACAGCAGTCAGTGTCTGAGGATGTGCTTTCTGTGCCTCCTGGAAGCTGCCTTGAGATACCTTGTCTAATGCGTTATAAATACAACAGATGTGCCTTGTCAAGACAATGGAGCCTGCTGCGGAGCTCCGCCCATCGTCCGCGTCCAAAGCACGTGGGACAGAATGTGTAAAGGCTAAAGAAAGCAAGGTCGCCAGGAAGTTGCTAGGTGGTGGGCGGACCTGGGGCAGTCGGAAGGATAAGAACTACTTTCTGGGCACCCTGTGTGCCTAATGCAAATGCATTAGTCCTTTATCATTCAACAATCAGAAGAGCCAGGACCTGTTTAAGGAAGAGGGAGCTGGGGTCTGCATTCACTCCAGATAGATGGAGTGTGAGCAGTTGATGGGACGTGTGGGAAGGTAGGAGGTGCACAGTCAGTCATGGAGCTCCAGAGAGGAGCCTGGCTGGAGCCGTGCCACCTGTCGGAGCAGACTTGGTGAGATACACGAAGCCAGAGGTGTGGGTCAGACCGTTCTTAGTGCTCAGGTGAGGACGGAAGAGCCCCGAGTACAGGGCGCTGTGCGAAAAGAGCCCTCCGGGAGCCTGCCTGCAGAGGCGCCCGGAGAAGCAGTCGGCAGGCGGTTCTGGAGCGGGGGTGCAGGATGGCTCGACTTGTGTTCATTTTTTAAACATGTAGGGATGATACTCCAATAGGTCTTGTGAGGTTTGTCACTGTCATTGGTGAGGGTGATGGTGGCCCTTTGTTTCCATTACTGGTCGGTGGTTTCTAGCTTACCAGTTCCTGCCGTGCCTTCTGTAAGGTCCTGAAGATCCTGGTGAGGGCAGTGACCGACGGGATGACTGACCGCAGTGGGGCCACCGCCGCCAGCCTCAGGGGAAAGCTGCGGGAGTTACTGGGCCGAGTCACTTCGAAAGTGACAAACGACGGGGACATCTGGAGGCTGTACGCCCACGTGTACGGGGACGGGCAGAGTGAGAATCCCGACGACAATGAGAAGGTACGTCCTTCGTCACTCCTGCCTCTTGTCTGAACACACGCGTAGTGGGCCTTCTCTCCTGATGGCTGCAGGGAAAGTTTAATGATCTGGAAGATAAGATTAATGTGCTCAAATTTTCAGTTTTGATCCAGTCTTTAACATAACACTTTGAATTGTGGGCAGGTTAAGACTTGTGAGCATTCGTCTTTCCTCTGCCCATGAATTTTTCCTATACAATTGTTCTCTGTTTCCTGCCGGAGGGTCTCTAAGCTGCTCCCTACCTGCCGGAGCTGCAGCGAGCAGCTGGCTCTCATTGTGTGCTCTGCACCCTCCCCGCAGGGTCGGTGCTGAGGGTGAAGGTAGATGGGGTACAGGGACAAAAGAGGGTTTACATCTGAGATGGGGACTCCGAAAGGGAAAAGGGAAAAGGAACTAGATAAGAATATTGGAATCAAGCTTTTCAAGTCGCTACAAGAAATGCTTGGTAAAGGCTGCCCTGCCCTGCCCCCCCCCCGCCCCCCTAGTGCACCCAGTACACTCGGCAAGGCCGTGGGCCTCTTATCTCAGGACGCAGGAAACCTCCAGAGTTCCCCGGGTTGGAGTAATTGTGGTCTTTTCAAAGCAGCCACACAAATCAAGTGTACACCTGCGTGAGTTTAGAATTGGCCACAGCACAGCTAATTGGTGGGGCTCTTAGTCGTTCTCTCCTGCCTTGGTCCACCCGGCCAGCCCCTCCCAGTGCCTTGTCAGTCGGAGAACCTACTCTCACCGCACACACCCACCCCTGTGTTCGGTCCTCCTGCAGCTGCCTGGGTCACGTGCTCCCTTCCCTGTGTGGAATTGGGGTACTCTGAACTCTCCGATGTGTGAGTTCCCCCCTCAAGAACCGGGTTGTGAAAGGGAGAGAGTGATGCAAATTTCTGTGAGTTTATACACCTACCAATAATTCCAAAGTTTCAACAACTTCACATCTCATTCTTTTAACTGGTCTCTTGAGCTTCTGGCCACAAACGGTAAGGAAACGTGTGCACTTCCGGTACATTCCCAAGTCGGGCATTTACATACTTCTGTTTGGAGGGAAGGGTCTTGGCCCAGATACATCCATGTGATGAATCACCGATCGCCATCGAATGCTCACTTCTACCCCTTCTTTGAGGAGAACGAGAGACACTGGGCTGTATCACACAGATGCTGGTTTTCAAGTTGCAATTGGTTCCATATGACTTCCAGGAAACAGAGCTGAAACGTGATTTCCACTTGTTGTTCTGAATGCTGTTCTTTTTCTTTCCTCAGGCGTTCCAGTATCTCTGTAAGGCGTACAAGTGTGACACGCAGTCCAGTGGTTGGGAGAAAGACATTACGTCATTTAAGGAAGTGGTTCAGAGAGCCTTAGGACTTGCACATGGTACTTAATGCAACATTTGCTATTTTAGTGTATTTTTACTGATAAGGGAAAGTATTAGTCAAAAGTAAAATTTCACTACATTGAAATTGTTGTATTTAATTCAGCAAATCTTTACAGAACAACAACTGTGCAGCAGGCACTTTCAGACAATAAGGAAGAACTAGGATAGAGGTTTAAACACTGAAGAAGTGACAGGAAGTAGAAATGAAATATGAAATTATTTAGAGATATGAAATGTGTTTACACCTGTATTTAATCTCTGTGTCACGCAGTCTGTTTGCATTGATTACATAGTATTAATGATATCGGTTACATTTTCCTGACTCATATTCTTTATAGATGAAAATGTGTATTCATAAAATATATACATATCTGGAATGCATAGCAATATACAAAGAGCATGGCATATATAAGAGAAATAACAATATAATCAAATATCTTTGAGAAATGTAGTGGGTGATATTTGAGGGAGGGGTAGGTAACCTTATTCATAAAGTTGTGTGTCTGTGGGGTAAATATATTCCAGGTAAAGGCTACTTTAATTATTTGCATTAATGAAAAATATACCAGATAAACTCAGTGATGCACGTTTGTGTTTATGTTGGCGTATGGGTGGGGGGGTGCCCTGGGACTGCAGTTAAAACAAAGTGATGAAGCCGCCGTGTGAAAAACGGGATCACAAGGACCGTAAAGTCCTCCTCTAAGTTCTGCAAGTGACAGCGACAGCAAGTAGGGGCCAGTGGGGGCAAGGAGAAGGGCAGAGCTCTGGAGTCAGGGAGGCCTGCGCTCCAGGACCTGCTCTGCCACCTACGTGCAGGTGACTTTGGGGAAGTCATGTCACCTCCCTGAGCCTTAGCTCTCTCATCAGGAAAACGAGACTATACCCGCCTAGGTTCTGCAGGTCTGCAATTCCATATACCGTATGTTTCAGACTATAAGGCGCACCCCTGCCCCTCATTTAGGAGGAATAATGGTGGTTAATGTTGCTGTTGAGTTCTGTTTACATTTACATTGGTGAAATATGTTATTAAATATTTTACCACATTTTTTGCTTCAAAAATTTTTCCCCTATTTTCCTCTAAAACCTAGGTGTGTCTTATGGTCTGAAAAATACGCTAATTTAAATGTTAATCCCTTGCTTTCTTACCCTCACCTGGTTCCTTGGGAGGTGGAAGATCTAAGCTATGTGATAAGGGACTCAAACTAAAAAGAGAAAAATGAGGAACAAGGATAAAGTTTAACTTGCTTTTAAAGAAGTAATGATATTCAAGCAGGTTAGAAATAGGTTTAGTAGTTAATAATTCTATTTATGGCCTTTGAGATCACTGATGGAAAATATACGAATGTTCAGTTGGCTGGGCCATCTACCCCTTGACGGAGGAGGCTGCAGCGCTCTGCTCAGGCAATGGGAGTTGGGTGCGGGGAAGCTGGGTGGGGCAGCCGAGAGGCTGGTGCAGGACGGTGGAGGGGGGGCAGAGGCTGGAGTTGATGTGGCCTGTGCTGGCCTCACGGCGGGCGCGCTCCAGTGGAGTTTAGTCCTGTGCCTTTGGCCTTGTGTTTGGGGAAACCCGTGCCCAGATGTCTGACGTGCACAATTATAGCAGAGCGAGATTTGCTCTGAAGAATTTATCTCCTTCAATCTGCCAGCTCTCCACATTTCTGTGAACAGCTGGCTGAGAAACAGTCAAAGCCAAGGTATTTTCCGTGACCACCAAGCGCCGGCGTTAATCCTGTCAAATGCAAACATGCAGGTTAAGGAGCGCGCTAGGGAAAAATCTGTACTTGGCCCCTCAGAGTTGGTCTTAGGCTGTTTTTGGTGCTTTCTTTTATCAGGGAGGCCCTTGGAGGAAAACTAGTGTTTGCTTAAGTCCTCCTTTGACTTGAATCATTGGGTTGGTGCTTCTGCAACACTGTAAACATATTTGAGTGGACGCTCAGCTGTAGTTTCTAGTGATGTCTTAGATTTGTGAAAGTGACCTTAACCTTGCTGCCTCTGTGCACCAGTGTCAGTGGAAGAATCAGCCGGGTTTGTCTGTTACTTTCCTTTTTATCTTCAACACCATTCTGCACCTCACCCAATGCTGAAAAGGAGCTATAACATTAAAAAAATCTCCACACCATGTATTAGCTATTGGATTGCTGTTTTTAAGAGTAGCCATGTGCTCCAGAAAGCTTGATAAGGTACTGCAGTCTGTATGTAGCGTTTGGGACCTTTCTCTGACAGTAGTGTCATTGTGTGCCCACCTGTACTGTCTGCAGCGCAGGTATCCTCTTACAGTCTCAGCTATTCTGTTTTCTGGGGAAGGACCGGCAGAAGGTTGGTCCTCCTTTGCCATCCAGGAACCTTGAAAAGAATAGTGTTGCATTTGAACTTCAGTCTGCCTGGAGGGAATGCTGTTCTCCTGGGCTCCCCTGTGTGTCTGTCTACCTATCTGGCTATCTGTGCATCTCCGTCTCAAGTGCGTTTTGAAAATGGGGTCGAGGAAGGGACTAATAGAGTGTATGTTTGTCTTCTTGCTCTATTTTTGTTTTTCTCAGAATGAAAATAAAGGATTGAAAAGAGAATCAGCCTTGGCCCGGATGGCTCAGGTGGCTGGGCATTGTCCTGCGAACTGAAAGGTCGTCGATTTGATTCCTGGCCAGGGCACATGCCTGGGTTGTGGGTTCGGTCCCCAGTCAGGGTGATGTTTCTCTCCCTCTTTTCCTCCCCCCCTTCCACTCTCTCTAAAATTAAATAAATAAATAATCTAAGAAAGGAAGAAAGAATCACAGCTGTTTCTGATATAAGTTAGGAATCAATTGGCCCAACTACCACAGCCGTGGTAGGTACAATGTTCCTTACTAAGGGGACAGCCATCGTAACCCCTACTACTTCTGAGTTAAACCCTTTGGAAATGAGTTTAACATCGCCAATTACCATATATCCTTTCAGTCTTTAGCTGAGAAGTGTCTTAAGTCTAATTATTATTTTGAAATAGTAAAGTCAAGCCTAGTTTTCACCAGCCATGAAGATATTATGAATTAATGATAAAACTATTTTTGCCAGGCACAGGTAACCTCCACCCATTGGTTGGAGCTTGCATGCAAAAAGAACTCTATTTCCTATCCCTGGTCCAAGGCCTAGGGTGCGAAGTAGGCTTTAATTGTTACAGTCTTGAGTGTAGTTTTCAAATGTGTGGGTATTGTTCTGTCTGTAGCGAGTATCATTCAGAGGGACAAAAACAAGACCAGGTCAGTGGAGAACTGCCAGGTGTTGTATTTTTACAAAGCCCTTTGCTTGTTTCTGTAAAGTGTTAATAGCTGGGTCTTCTGCCAGGGAAGCTATGCCCCCTTCATAATTTCAAGTTTTAGGGGAAGGGCTCACCAGAATGCTGGGGGCAGAGTCGTTGGAGAAGAGAGACTTCCTTCTCCCCAGGCCCTGCCGATGCCAAGCCCGGCTCAGCAGCCAGAGCCAGGTTGTGGTCACGTCCCGAAGTGCAGGCACATCGATTGCTGATATCAGTTCTTCCAGTTGGTGATGTGAGCCCTGAGTGTGAAATTGCACTGAGAACTGAACCGTAAGCATCTGCCATGTCACTTCCTTGGGCCAGTGTCGTCAGCATCGGGAGTCCCCGTTAGGGACTCGGTCCTGGGGAAGCCACACTGAGGTGGGCCTCATCTGTTGGGCCCACTGCTTTGTGTTAAGTTTGATTTTGTCGGGTTCTGAGTAATTTCAGTGTGTGTGTGTGTGTGTGTGTGTGTGTGTTTGGTGGAGGTAGGGTCTCTTCCCAGTGGTCTGGAACTCACCAAAATTCACCTATTTTCCTCAAAATTCTCTTTTTACCAATAAGGTACCCTTCTGAAAGAAAGATAAATGGGAGAATTAGGCACATAATTATCCTTTTTCCAAATTAAAAACTTTCTATGGAAACTATTTCTAAAGCCTGTTACTGTAAAATCGTAATTAAAAAATTGTAGGGTTTTTTTTTTTACCTGTGAATTATCATCAGCAATTTGTACAGATGCTCTTCCCTGTGTTTCCCCCCCCCAGTGGCTGTGAGATGCAGCGAGAACAAGTCCAGTCCCCAGGAAGCTGTGCAGGCGCTGTCTTCCGTGCGGCTCCACCTCCGGGGCCTGGCGTCCAAGGCCAAGGTGAGAGCGGGAGGGGCAGCCGTCGGATGGAACCAGCCCTTAGCACCAGCCAGCTGCTCTTGAATTTCCTTTTCCATCAGCAGTGATTTTAGGCCCACGTTACATTTTAGGTGTTGGCCCCCAAGTAGATACTTGTACTGGTGAGGATCTTACTTTCTCAGTGGCTAGACCCCTGAGTGTGGGTAACTTGGGACTTGAGAAACTAACACCTACAGTCCAGCCCTTCATGCTTTTTCTAAACTAAATTAAAACACTGCTTTTTCGTTTATCACTTTTCCCAAAGTGGGACACATGTGCCCCTGGTAGCACTTGGGTAAACTTACAATCTTAATATATATTTATTTCAATGTGTATTGGAAAAAGTATAAGTAGCACAACAGACTTAGAATTTCATGAATATCATTGCTCATTTTTTTCATTTAGAGTAATGCTCCAGTGTTTTCTTTAAAAAAGACTTTGATTGTGTGAAAACTGCTTTAGAGAAAAAATTAGTAAGTAGGTTGTCAATAGATTTGACAAGAATGGTTGAGGTAGGTGGGTGACTCAGGTTTGACACCGAACACACACACCTTCAGTGGACACACGCAGCGGTGGCCGGGGCGGGGATGCCAGTGTGTTGCCCAGTTCTTGGGCCCAGCGAGCAGTGCTCCGGGGGCCGCCGCAGCGTCTTGGAGGTAGGTTGGAGCGTGCCTCTCAGAGCAATTCCTTTCACGGCAGGGGGCTCAGTTACTTTTATTTTGCCCCTTAGTTTTGGTTTTACTAAATCTTGATCATCCTTGTGGCCCCCGAGTCCTAAGCTGTAATTAATTTTCAAGTAATTAGCATAAAGCATCTGATTTATATGAATTTGAATATGAAATATATTTTTGCTTATATACACCATGAGTAGGTTTGCTTTGGATAAATAATATACATTCACCCAGAACCCATCCTACGACATGAATGGCATAATCGATATTCATAGCAAGCACGTCGCAGAGCAGAACTCGTCTGAATTCACAGGTTCGCGCGTGTCGTTCATGCTTTGTGGGGCCTGGTGCATCGCTAGGCGGTCAACAGAACAAACACCGCCGTTGCTGTGACAACGCTGTGGAGTTATTATGCAAGGGGAGCTGTAATTCTGTACTCTGTTTCTACATCATTTCAAAAAGATTTTCATTGTTTTGATAGTTCTACTCTGTCCTTTATGTTGCAGCAACTTTTTACGGATGTGGCCGGCGGAGAAGTTTCCAGGGAGCTGGCCGATGACGTGGCAGCTCTGGACGCCGCGGCGGCAGAGCTCCAGGACCTGAGCAACCAGCTCTGCAATCGGTGCTGACCGCCCCGAGTCCTTCCGGGCAGGGCTTTTGCCTCTGGGGTTTCTCTGTCCCCGTGTATCTGAAAGGCGAGGTATTGATTTTTAAAATAAATTTCTTTTTTATGACCAACACTCTTGCTTTTGTGATTTTTCCCCCCAAATATTTGAGTTGCCTGAGGTACATTAAATGAAAAGTCCCCTATTTCCTTAGCTTAGTTACAGTTGAATTCAGTATTTTTATTACTTTTGATGTAATTCAGCAAAAAGGAAAAAAAAGTTGTAGTTTCCTTTTTAACGTAGAGTTTATTCTCTCTCAGCTTAAAATGAATTACATCATTCTTTGGAAAAACTTGGTTCAAACCAGGGGAAAAAAAATCACATACTACAAGATTGTGGAATCATTAGATTGTCTGCTTTATTATCCAAAAGTGATAAAAGAGTATATTTGGTGATGGAAACCTTTACACTCCTTGAGATTTTATATCTGTGTCAGAAAGATACTAGCTTGGCTGAATTAGAAATGTGGGCATGGTTTAACTTCTAAGTCAAGAAAATGCGAGAAAAAAATGACCCCACTTTGGTTTCAGCCATCAGCCACCAGTGCCCAGGCTGAGCCTCACCGTGTGTCCCGCCAGCCCTGGAGAGGGTTATTCGGTAAGGTTGTTGTGAGTGAAGACAGCTACAAATGGTGCCATGTTACAAAATGCCAAAGTGAAATGCTTTCTTAGTAATGTCTATGGAAACAAATATTGAAGGCAGCAGCTGAGCTTAATAATCTTACTAGAAAATCATAGTGAGGAATTCTCGGTCCTGGCTTGGGTTGTTGAATTTTGGGTTCCATGCACAAGTCATTGGACCCTTGCTTCTTTCCATGTTATTTTTTTTTATAAGATGTTTATAATTTTGATTCCTTGCTTCTTTGGAAGTTTCAACTGCCTTTTGGGATTTAATCCATAACTGTACTCCATAAGTAGAAATATTGTAAACATTAGAAAAGCAGTCTTTAAAAACTTTCATCAGCAGATTATGGTTACGAATGCTTACCAATGCTCTCATTCCTCAGTCATTTGCTCGTCTCATACTGGCCTAAAAAAAAGTTGATGTATGCCCCAAAGCAGTTTTTCTTACATGAGACACAACAACTATGGGAAAGACCAAGAAAATGAGGTGGCAATGTGAGTTATCAGTAAATGTTCACTGGAATCGTTTATGGAAGCCATTGGGGAATAGGTGGGTAAATGGCTGGAGGAGGGAGGGGAGGGAGGTTTTCAGATTAACTCTGTCGCTACCTAGTTGTGAGCCTCAACAGGAAACAGGTAAATACTGAAACAGTGCAAAGGTTGCAGGAAACAAACGACTGACGAAGAGCTAACCAGTTTCAGAAGTGTGTAGTTCTCAGCTTATCCCCCTTCGGGTGCGAGGTGGAAGGGCACCAGTGAGTGTGCACCGCCCCAAACCAAGTGACAAGAGGGTTAAAGGGCTGTCCCCTTCCCGTCCTGCTCTCCGACTCTGTGCTGGACCAAAGTCTCTAGGATGCTGCGTATGCCCTCTTTCCTCCTGACCTCACAAAGGAGAGATTTAATAGATGTCTTCTCTTTAAGTCATAGACCTGTTAGCTGTGTTTAATGATCTTATGTGAATGCTTAACCAAACTGAAGAAAACATGTGGGGAGGCACTATGGCAAAGTAGGAGAGGCTTGGGTTTTATCAAAACCTCATCTCTATCTCCCGCCTCCCAAGACTTAACACTCAGGTACTGGATTCCTTCATCTGTGAAATGAACGTGGTGACAACAGGGCCTTGCATCAAGTTCTGAGGATCTCGTACAGACTTTGACCCAGCTTTAGAGCCAGTAACTCAGTATCTGTTTAAACAGCTATGTTCATTTACTGTAAGTTCTCTGCTGCTTCATAATGCTATTGTATGATTTGAATATTTGCTATTTCCAAATGCCTTATCTTTTCTAAATTTCAGCTTTTATTTTCTAGTGTTAATGTTTGTTTTCAGAATTACTTTTTTGCTTTGTCAACTAAAAATCTATAGATGTGATCCTCTCATCTTTGCCACATTCCTAGCGTGAACAGTAATGCTAACAGGTACCATTTTCTCAGTTGTCATGACACAATAGGTAGGTCTGTGCATCACCAGGAAACTAAAGGTCGCAAACTCTGGAAAGAGAAACAGCCAGAGTTCAAAGGCGCCTAATGCCCGCGTTGTTCCTGGCTCTGCTGGGGCCAGAAAAAGCATCCAGTGCTCAGCTGGTCAGTGGTCTTTCCGCGTTGGGACACCTGGACAACGTGCCTGTCGTCGCTGATAAGGTTCTTCAAGGAGAGAGAGTCTGCGGAGGTCTCAGTTAAGATTATTTAGTCTTTTTAAAAAAAATAAGTTCCTTGTTAGTCTTTTCCGAAGAAGTGGCATAGTCAATGGAGCCCCTAACTACAGAGGAGTTAGAAATAAATCCTAATGGAATAAGGAATGTCTTCTCCAGACCCAAACTCAAAACGCAGGAAGCTTCAAGAGCCAGTGCTGAGTCTGGGAAGCATGGGGTGTGTGTCGGGGCGGTGAGTCACGTGGTGGGGATCAGAGCTGTAGGACCCCAGAGCGACGGCGGGGGTGGGGGGGTCCTCGTTTCGGGGCGGAGAGCTTGGCCTTCCCTCAGACGGAGGCTCAGGTGGGAGCAGGAGCGGGAACATTGGAAGCACTGACTTACTGAATTGCGTACGAAGGCTCTTCTCTTCGAGCTGGTCTTGTTTCTGTTGGACAGCTACCAGTGTGCTGTGCATGCACAGAAACGTGAAGAGGACGCGGTACCGGTGAGCGCAGCAGACCCGCCTCCTTCCCAGACTGCCCGCAGCGACAGGGACGCGGGCAGAGCTCGCCTGGTTTGGGCAGCTCCTGACCGTTTTCCCAAATCACGGTAAGTCCGCGATTTGGGAAAATCCCCGTTAAAACCCTGGGCGCGCCTGAATGAAAGTATTCTTTTTTCCATTTCTGTTTTTATAGCATCCACATCGATCTAAACCACTGTTTAGATAAGGTAACTCTGCTTTACTGGCCCAGAGCGAGGAATAAAACCTGCGGAGGGGATGCCGCGCACTTCCCCCCCGGCCGGTGCGCTCCATGGCCTGGACGCCGAAACGGCAAAGGGCCTTTATTCGATGGCGGGCGCCATGCTGTGGTGATACAGATGGATTTTTCACAACGCGCAGAAGTGCTTATAAATAGATAGGTTTCAATCAACAAGTAGCTTATTCAGCCATGTGCTCAAATATAGTAGCTGCATTCATTAGACAGACATTTCCACTAATCCCAAGACTATACTAATAAAAGCGTAATCCCTTATGAGCTAAAGGTAGTGCTGGCTTGCTTTTAACCCTTGTAGAGTCTTTCACAGGCCAAGGCCGATGAATAATTGTAGCTGCATTAGGTTTTCACCAAGTGGACTGTAAAACTGAGCTTATCTTGAAAATTTTTTTCTTTCCTTAGTTTTTTCAATTGCAGCAGCTTACCAGACAAAGAGGTGCCTTTTGCTCTCGAGACGGAGCTTGCAGCGAAAGCCAGTTTAGAAACCAGTTTTGTGTGTGCTCATGGGTGGAGTGTGTGTGCTTGTTTTTTGTTTTTTGGGTTTTTTTTATCATAAAACACCTTCTCTTTCACCCTGGTTAATAAAGAGTTTGGGCAGATTTTGTTTTCCTTTAGGATCAATGACAAATTAATGCCAGTTTGGAGGAGATTCACGAACTCTCATTAGAGAGGTTGGGCTTTTCTACACGGCCCTTTTCTTCCTTGGGCTTGGCTGTGTTCAGCAAGGTCTTCGCCCCTCCCACATCATTCAGAGCCGGTTGTAATTAGTTCGCTTAGCACAACACTAAAATTTGTCCCTTGCCAGTGATGTCAGGTCAGCCCTCCTTTTTATTATTCTGACTTCTTATAAATGGCAGTAACCCGTGCGTCAGCCACACCATCTCTGGCCCTGTGACAACACTGTGATCTATGAGAGGGACTCCTGCCAAGGACTGGGAGGCAGAAGGCTGCGTTAAAGGGTGTCTTCTGACCCGTGAGTACCGGCCATTTTTTAATCTTTTGTGGTGGTGTTGCCAGAAAGGGGTGTGGGGTGGGCGGGGAAGGCAGTTCATGTTGTTCGGGAGCTACCCCGTGCATTGCTAACTTTTTCCAGACCGAGGGCTCGGATGAACACCGGCATCTGTAGGCATGCAGACGTCATTACACAGTGCCGTTCATGGGCACAGACGTGTTCCCTGGGGACTGCTGCTGCAGGACTTGAGGACACCCTTCGCTCCGCTGCGGCCCGTCAGGGGTCCGTGTGATGATACAACAGGATCAGTGGGGACGGTGCACGTAGCAGGCTTTGGGAATAAAAGGGTTGAACAAAAATATAAGTAAGAGTGTCTTAGAAACCACCGGATAAAAAGCATCGACGCCACCTGTCCCGTTCCCCGGCCGGGAGCTGACGGCACTGGTGCTGCTGGGCCACATACCCACGTTGTGGTTCTCAGTGTGTTCACTCCGCTGCGTCCAGTCCCCGTTTCTGGGCTGCCGATGCAGATCGGGGAAGGGGTGAGGGAAAGAATGTGATGGGTTTTTATGAAGTGAAGGAGAAGGAACAACTTCCCATTGCCAGAATTTCTCAGCTTAGTGCTAGGAAAAGGAAGGAGAAAGGATGATAAGGAAGAAGGGGTGGGAAAAGGATGAAATGGGACTTGATTGACTAGAGCGAACTCGGGTCAGCAGACCCGGATTTAAGTCCCACTTCTTAGCCATGACCACACCTGAGCCCCGTGAGCTCCTGGGGGCCTGGGTGTCCTCAACAGTGAAGTGCAAACAGCCGCCCTCTAGACCAGACAGCGTTGTGGTGGGGGTCATATCGAATGATGCGTGTGAAGTATTTTGCGAGCAACTGTGCACAATTAGTCTTTGTTATGATCACGAGAAAGGGGCATTGTGGACGGTGTCTTGGGTCTCGGGACCGGTGCAGTCCCTGGGCGGGGGCACCCAGCACCGTGGCTCCAGTTTCCCTAATCCCCATGGGGTCATGACCCCGTGGTTTGAGAAACAACACTGCAGACCTTTTCCAGGTTCGGCGCGCCCTTCGTCCCTTTCCTCG